TGTGTGTGTGTGTGTGTGTGTGTGTGTGTGTGTGTGTGTGTGTGTGTATTCAGTCACCACGCGAGCTCTTGAAGAAAAGCTCATAAAAACCAACGTGGGATAAAATCCGGCTACGATTACGACTTGGTCAGCTCTGGGCGTAATGCGCCGCAAGAGACTGAACTTGTAAATGTTCTATTCATGTTTCTGCAAAAAGATCTTGCAGGAAAAATGTCCTTTTACATGTGGAATTTTTAAAACACACTCTCTCGCAGTCTCTCATCTAAAAATTGGCTACATCGGATATGGATCAATATTATTATTATGGATTAAAATTTTGTCAAACTGAATTAACGGTAGAATTATAATGTACGCAGTCGATATAAAATAAAAATAACAATCGTTAATACAGGATTCTTTATCTAATTATATCTAATGCCGAAGATAGATCCAAAGCTGATTGTGTGAATTGGATATTCGTGACAGATAGCACGGACCATTTGACGAAACTTGATCGATGGAAAAGAAACACAAAAGCGCGCGCACATACTGACATACTCTAACACAATTAAAAGTAGAGAAGACACAAATATTATAAATAAGAAACTTCTCGAGGAAAAAGATGAATGTATTCTACAAGCAATATACAATATATATTTCATCGTATCTTCTTTGTAAACGTACATACACAGGTAATTTTGCGAAAAGAAACCAGTCGTGTATATTGAATAACGTTAAAGATAGAAAAAGAGTCGGAGGAAAAAACCATTTTTGAATTTATATTGCAGTTTATTAAAACTCTAGATGAGAAAGGACTTGACGGATTTTAGAAAAACAACTTGATTTTATAATATTATATTTTTACTGCGTGTATTCTTTTTATGATAATGTTTAACTATTTATTTGAATCATTACAGTGTATCTCGTTCTTAACGTGCTCTGTTTTATTATACGTCAATTAACGCATCACACAATTCTCTTTCCAATAATTAATAAGTATTGAAAAAAAAACTGCATGATAAAAAGAAATTATCCTTTGATCAGCTCAAGCATTCATAAATTACCAACTTTGCAAGATTTCTTAAAAGGCCTCTCTGGAAACCAAAAATAATTAGCTCGTAATTTGTTAAGCATAAACATGACTGTCCTTGTCTTTGTGAGACGACTTATTTTTAAAAAGTGCACTGTAATGTTTTTATAAAAAAATCTCCCCCAAAAAATACATTGTATACATGTTCCTTGCTATTGAAAACAATTAATTTAGCTTTTGTTTATGTAATAGTGACTACGGGACCAAAAGATTTTATAATCTCTAACTCTTTTTCTATCATTAATATTTTTCGAGATATAGGTACATGACTTCACTTTCTATGAAATGTCCTGCCAGATATAAAATATCTCGGTAAGGATCACTGCGAAGTGGTGCTCATATTCATATGAACCCTTGGTAATTATTAACGCGTTACAAGACTAATCAATATGTTTTAACGATGTTTTTAACGTCTTATCGAGAAACGTTACGTTATAGTCAATCAATTCTAATACAGTCACAAAAAAGTAAACAATCGATAGATCTTGAACAAATATATAATAAGTGATATATCGATACCGCTTCGCGTGGAAATCTATTTTACTATTCTCATCGGAAAAAGATAAAAACAAAAATATGAATTATCTTCCTCATTATTAGCTTGTAATATAAGCATTCCAATGACTGGCAATAGATGACATATATGTACATGTTACGCGTGGAGTTGACGATAATATTTTAGTCTTCGAATTATATATCGTACCTAATAGTATTTTATTTGATTCTACCATATATGCATGCAACATTAATCGAAAATGCATATTTATGTTAACGTCGACAAAATAGCGAATACTCTAATTCTCCTTCTTCGTGCTTCCAATGTTTTTCTACTTGACATCATCTACGCTCGTTCTAAGAAATTTTATTTTATTTTAAGCTCCTTTCACAATTAAATTATATGTATAAAAAAAATGATCATTTATCAGTGGATTGACAATTAAATTTTAGTGGCGCACGTCGTGTATGTAAAAAGTCTAAAATAAACAATTAGTCAATATACAAAAAATATAATATAAAAAAAATTACAGTCATACGATCGCTCTTTCAGGCCTTTCAGGGAAAGCACTAGAAAAATAATCTTTTTTTTTTTCTTTAACTCTGTAAATATCATCCAATATCATAAAATATTGTCAAATAAAAAGACTCTTACTTTTTAATAAATATAGTCTTGTATGTATGTACAGGAGTACAGAGTCTATATTTAGAATTTCTCAAGACTGCACGTCAGTACCTTCACAAACTATGTATCTGTAACGTACTGTCCTTTATAATAAAATAATAATAAAAATATAATTCCTACTATCGTACATTTTATTTTTTTCCCATGTACCGTTCCTTCTGCCCTAAACAGAAATTGATTATTAAAAAGATATAAAAAATAACATCTCCTTTTTTACTTGAAATGTTAATGATCATTTGTACAATTTTACTCAATTCCAAATACTGAATGAGTGAGTGAGAGAAAGAGAGAAAGACAATAATTGGACTGTATATTGAGAGAACACGGATGACTATACTATATAATTATAATATATAATATAATAAGGCCTGGAAAACTGGAAATATAAATAGTCTCTAAAAATTCAATTATTAAGATCAAAAATTTCTCTGGACGAATTAATAGTTGAATATATCTATAATTATTTAAAGACTGCAGACATTAAATTTATTGCATATTAAATCTAAATATTCCGAAAATTATCTATGAGATAACGAATATCTAAGAATTTCAAAAACCTGATATATATACATATATTATTTCAAATGGGATTAAAATATTCTTTCTCAACTTTTTAAAACGCATTTGATATCCTGCCTGCAGTAATATTCGTTTTCCACTTGTCTAATAAAACAAAGAAAAATTCTCTCTGCTATAAACATTTTATGAAAGTTTCACACCGTATCCTACGTATGTATGTATGTACGACATTTAATATCCAATAGAGAAACGTCCTTTCTAGGAACTTTGGCCGACGTTTTTGTCCTTAGAGGACAAATGTTATTGGACAACTGATATCGGACAAATGTGAATCCTCCATTACTTTGCTTTATTACCCATCCTATAGAGAAGATTCAATTTGTTTAGTTAGCAAGCCTGTTGATATTTGCCGCCCGTTACTGTTACTACACCTACCGTATGGTTAGGTTAGGATTAGTGTATATGTGATGCTTCGTTTCCGTTTATTACACAAGAATTATATAGAAAGTGATTAAATTGCGATTGATGAAAAATGGGGAATCCTCTAATTAATTAGACTCTATTATAAAACATGAAGATGAACGACAGATATATTCGTCGTATGCGTATCGCTTAAATGTAATGAAAATGACGTATCCCGGATTAGTATTACTTGTCGGAGTTGGAGTTGGAATAGCGACTTTTCTCTATTATGTGTTCACCGAGAATAACCGCACGGATGGACAGTCATTATCGTATTCGGGAAACGGAAGATCGTCCGAAGACCACTATGAAGACCGTTCTTGGTCGACATCGTCGCATCCGACTGAAAAGTATTCATCTCAATATGCCTATACCTACATACATTAGTATCAAGTATCAATACCTGCGCACGTGATTAATAATATCATGATTAATAATATAATGATTTTCTCTGCTTCACAAACTTACTTTCCACCTTCCGCAGATGCAGCAAAATCATCTTTCCTATAACTTCGGTTTTTCTATTTTCAATAATTATACCTATAACGTAGTAGAAGTAGAAGAACCACCATTGTTTTTTTTTCTCTTTTTTTTTTCTTAAGAAAAAAAATTAGAACATTACAATATTAGATATTGTAAGAAACATATTATATATTGCAAGGTTCTACGAGAGATATTTACTTTCAGTGCACTATTAAATAGAAGAAGTTCATCAAACTCTTCGAAAAGTAAAGAAAGAAGAGACCTCGCGACAAGTAAAGACGACATGAACAATTGTTCAATCTGCCAATACGCATTAGTTGATTCGGACGTAATACAATTGCGTCCTTGTAGACATAATTTTCACAAGGATTGCATTAATGAATTGACAAAATATGATCCTGGGGTAAAATCTAAAACGTGCTAACTAGAAACAAACTTTTGAATCCTGCTTAAAAATTCATGATTGTACTTGTTTATGTTGCAGGCCCTTTGTCCTAATTGCAGAAGAAAATTTAGGCCCGCGATATAAATACGTCGTACATGCAATCATGTATATGCAATAGTGTTTGAATCATTTTGTACAGTATCTACAAATACTACGTGTTACATTTGGTTATTTCAGTTTTATCATAATACTTTAAATACTTTACTTGCAATATGTTCAAAGCAGTATATGAAATGCACAATCTTTTTACAATTTAGCCATCTCATTGTCGTAATCGAAATTATAGGTATATATATATCCAAAATTCCTAGTTTTTCATCATACACTTTGCAGAAAAATAGAAAATTAAAATTTTTAAACTGTGCTTACCAAGTTTAGTATTACATATAGATTTTTGAGAATATTATTCTATAGATTTATCCTCCAACTGATTACATTTTATCTGTCTGTCGTAAGAGAAAAACACTATATACAAATCCAGAAGCGGTATCGTCGTATAAAGAAAAGATTTATGATTGCAAAGTCTGAGTAGTTTCTATCAAATATCCACATGTAACTTTCTCTCCCTTTATTATCGATTGAATCGAATAACGTCGCTTTGTTACTCTACAATCACGATTTATATCAAAGAAATATGTATCGTTTTTAGCTCCGATCAAAATGGTACAGAACGTTTAGTTACATTTACTTAGGAGTCAAGAAATTGTATCTACCGAGTGGTACTAAAGTAGTTGGCCGTGCTATATGTAAGAACGTAATCTTATATCCATTATCTATTTATATAATAAGGTAATTAGCAAGAGAGATTACATACAGATACACCCAATTATTGTACGAATATATCTGACACGTGTACGACGATGGATAATTAATATAGTAATACAATCGATCCGCTTTCCCTTTCGTTTATCATTATCATAAATGAATTAGAATGTTTCGTAACGTTGCGACGCAAACCCCGTGCATGTAATAATGCAAGACGGTGCCGTACATGTATGTGCAACAGCGAAGGCGACGGCGACGCGCGTATTCTGTAACGTTCGTCTAGTGAGCGGCATGGAAAGCGAGGTTGCGAGGTAGTTGCGCTTTGGTCAGTAATCCGGGAAGCGTTTCCGTTCGGTCGATCCCGCGGAGAATCTCCGTCTCTCGGCTCCGTCACTGTTTCTCTCGCGTAATCGGTAATCGCGTGTAAGAATGCAAAAATGCGGAAAGTAGTGAGATAAGAGAACGCGAATCGGTGATTATCGATCGCGTTTCTCGTATCAAAATGTATCGATGGAACGAATATGACAGGATTATTGTTCGTTATACTTGTCGTAACTCACGCGGTCGCAGGATCGCGGCTATCCGCGCCCAATGAGAAACAAGGTACGTATCTGTATCTCATTATACATCGATATAAACTGCGAGTGTAGCTAAACGAACATTTAATCCGTCCTTTTTTCTCTCTCTCTCTCTCTCTCTCTCTCTCTCTCTTTTTCAACGCACGGATATGAGATGCTATGCGTCGCGGTCGGGAGATTTTGCATCTTCTCCGCGCTTATGTATACGATTTGCTTCAAATTCCGCGTGCACCATGATTATCTCAACGAAACAAACCTTGTAATTTAATATGTAAAACATATTCATCGATTCTTGATCGATTTGGTCGAGAATAACCGAATGTTATATTCTTAATGATTATCGGTCGCTCTAGGATAGACGATAATTGTTATATAAAACTGCGCTTGTAATTGTAAGAAGACTTGGAAGAAGAAAATTATGCTATTTATCGAATTTATACGAGCGGCGGATTGCAATAAAAATAAAATTGATGTTATTCACGGTATTTTTTTTAGAGATGATGATAATAATATCGTTTCTCCTATTACCCTTTTTCTTTTAGACAGCATAAAAATATAATTAACGAGATAACGATCACGGCGTATAATTCGTTGCACGGCACATAATCAGTATCACAATCATAATATAAACATAAAAACATAAATCGATCGTGTTGTCAGGATCGCGCATGAACAGGCGCGTGAATAGACAGAACAATGAGATAATATGTATAACGCGAAACTAAAACGCGTTTTTATTCGGCATTGTCTATGTCGAGGCCATTTTACCACGTACAACAACATTAAAAGCGAAACGCTAGATTTACGCGATTTAAAACTTTTCAAAGGAACGCGGAACGACATGAAATCGGTGCACGATAATTACGGTTCCTCTTCCGTAAAATGCACTCGTATTTATTCCGCGTGTGCGAATACTGCGAATACGCGCGCACAGGCTACACGCTATACGCTGCAGGCTGCAGGGTTAAATATATCGGTTGTCCTATTTCTGGACCGGTTCCACCTTCCACGCGCGATCGTCGAAAGAAGCGAAGTGAGTTGAAGCGGATTGAAACGAGTTGCGAGTTAATTTTCGATTTTGTTCGTGCTTCGACTTCTTTAATAAAAAGGTGACAACTTTGCAGCACATATATGTCGCCCGCGCCCGTGCCCGCGCCCGCGCCGTTCGTATCGACTATCGCCCCGACAAGAAACGAGAAAAGACAAAAGAGAAAAAACGTACTGTACCGACAGCAAACTCGGCGCCTCATAGCCCTCATATCTCATATCTCATATCGCCTGTTAATCGCCACGTTGAATTATGACGCGCTAATGATACGATGTATGCTATATGTATGTGCTTATGTACCTTAGATGGCTAATCGAGAGTTATCGACGAGAGCCAGCTCTGCGTAGCCGTAAGTAGCCATTAACAGCCGCGTTACACGTTACAGGATTACAGGAACAGGAGCCGTCTAGCGCGGCCGCGAAGATTAAAGCTCAAGTTGAGCCAAATGCGATCAACGCGCGATTCCTGCAATTGTAAATTAGCGTTACATTCCTATGGGCTGTGTCCTACTATATATTCTCTCTACAATATTCATAAATAAATATCCGCCGCGTCCGATTGTCCGATTGTCCGCGGAACAATCGTCACAATCGATCGAAATCAAGTAGGCATATATATAAGAGATCTTTAAACTTTGAGTTGGCGAGAATTTAAACGCGTACATACAACCGACAAAGCACATCAGAAACACCCGCGGAGTTTGCTTCACCTTGTTAGACTCGCATAATGGGGTTACGAGAATCTTGCATTGACCTACGTGCCCGTTTCCCGCGATCCGCGATACAGCGTGAACTGGCGAGTGGCGAGTGGCGAGTGGCGTCAACACTCAACAGCTGAAGCTCAAGTGCTAAACAGGCATGCACTTGAATACCGCCAAGAGTCAGAGTCAAAGTCAGAGATGCGCTCGATTCCGCTCGATGCGCGATGGCTCGAAATCTCGAAATGCCCGCATTGCCCGCGAAATATACAACGCGATCGGTATCATTGGGTATCATTGACGTACTATTATTATCGTCTATCTATACTATACTTGTACCATAATTAACAATATTACGAGCGGCATTTGCCGACATTCTACCTCTCTATCTGCGACATATAAATATTTTCTCATTTACCGATCTTATTGTATTCTTAGTAAGAAGACTGATACGAGATTGGGCACCTTTGGTATGGCTCGCGCCTGGGGAACGATTCTTGCCTCTCGGGGTAACCGAATTCCTCGACAACGTACAATCGGACCAGTATTACCTTCGCACTAGAATAGACGTAGGTAAATAGTTGGAAATATATATAGTTACGATATAAATAATATAATATATAACAAGAGATATACATTAGTGTCTGTAAGTGTACATGGGATAAGATTCGATATTCGATCATGCCGCGGAAAATCGCCACAGCCCACAGGTTGACGTTTCAAATAAAACACGTTTAACAGAGTCCTTGTTAAAGAATCGATCGTCCTTCTTGTACGGTCGAAAGCCCGCTGGAACCGTGCCCGTCTATGCTCTCGTGAAAAAGTGCGTTTCCAAAGACGCGCGGCTACGCTCAGCGAGAGATACGGCGCAGCCGATGCTGAACGTGAAGCTAAAGCTAAAACTAAAGGAGGTACGGAACGTTTTCGCGCCGCTACAGGATCTAGGACGACCAAGACTTTTGGCTCAACGGCAGATCGCGAGCACCACGAATCTAAGAGCACAAGTGCGGCAGGTAAACGACGCCTGTTTTTCGTACTCTTAAAAGAATACACGTGCTGCGTGCACGTACGATACGTTTCAAATAAATGTCGTTCCTTTACTTTCCACGCAACTATTATATAATTTCAGGTGGCAACGGTACCGCGACTCGAAAAGGTCAGAGAAGAGAATGGATGTCAAAAAGTGCACTTTCACGTGACCTATTGGATGTTCTATCCGTTTAGCGAGGGAAAAACAATCTGCGTATTGGATCTTGGATTTTTTGGCAGCTGGCCGATACCTACCGTTGGTGGGGTGTGCATAGGTACGCTTAAAGAATATGGCAGTCATATCGGAGATTGGGAACACATGAGTCTTTATTTCAAGGTAAATCATGCTTCAGCTTCGAGACGTCCTCAAAGTAAAGTACAACTTTTCTATCGTCACCGTTCATGTCACCCGCCCCTCTCATACCAAAAAAATCCATACCAAAATACGATATCGTCATTTAGGATAACGAGTATCCTCTGGCAATGTACGTATCGGCGCACGATGCCGGGGCGTTTTATCGATATGATCCGCGAAATGGTAATTTCGTCTACGAGAGTCAAGAAACAAGAAAAGGTCTCTTCCAGAAGCCAATATTTCCTGAAAAAGTTTATACGGCTGGTGGCTCGCACCCAATATTATTTAGCGCACGCGGCTCTCACGGGCTCTGGACAGCTCCGGGGAAGCATAAATTTGTTCGAGTACCTCGTCTGTACGACGAAAGTGGATTCGGAACCGCTTGGCCGACATGGAAAAGATTGGAGTTGCTTTTCGAAGAGGACAACGAGCCTTTACCAGGCTGGATGACTTTTAAAGGCAAATGGGGTAATCCCAGCAGCAATTGTCATCCGTTAGCGAAACTAGGTTTTAACATTTGCGAATTTGTAGACGGCCCAACCGGAATTCCTATGAAGAAATTCAATTTTCGATGTTAAGACCTACCATCGTTAAAGTCGGGGGTGTTAGAAGTTATAGGGTAAAAGAAGACTGATTTTGAGACGCGTCTTTTCAATTCAAATCGGCAAAATAAACGAATGTGATGGTTTGATGACATACATATTTATATAAGACGGCAACGTGATGTTGCGATTTTAATGAGGATGCCAAAGATGGTTACTGATAACTCAGAAGAACTTTGCGTCTTAATTTATTCGAATAAATAATCTTGATCTTCATGAACAATTGAAAAGTAATTTAGTGTGCCACATCTCTGTAAACATTATTTATTTAACGGAAGCTTCGTTGAAAATTGACATCGATATAAAATAATAACAAAATAGGATTTGTTCGATACAACTTGCGCGTAATTGCAGACATAATTAGCAGAAAGTGGTGTTATAGCTTTTGCAAACGTCTCGCGTGTGATGTATTTTTAAGAGCAGTAGGCAAATTATCTTATTTTGTGCAGCATTACACCACTTACAATTGCATCGTTCACTCTAGTCTGGAAACTTTCGGCTATGCTGATTCATTCGTTCGTTCATTCGAACCTTTACTTGATTTTCAGCACTTAAGCTTAAATACCCATCACTGAAAGACAGCTCGATAATAAGCAGCATTACTCAGACACCTCATCTTCGTCGATTCCTTCGACGGCAATGCTGCGTATGCCGTTTCTCAACAATGGTGTACCCTTGTCTTTTGCTAAAACACGTGCGTTCAGCACAATTTTCAACGGAGTACCCGATGGACAACACATCACTTTGACATCCTCCTTCAATATTTTCTCCTTATATGCCAACAGCTCTACTTTCAACCTGATGAAAGAACAAATATTTCAACAGCTGAGTCAATTTGAGAAGAAAATGTGATGTACGCTTGATTCGAATTGTGGGAAAAAAAAGAAAAAATATATTATATACACATAAACAAAAAAAATGTATACCTTAAGCCATCTTTTTCCTGCACAAAATCGACAATGTGACAATTTGCATTATGATTTCCTGCAATTACCGCCGGAGCTACCGTTTTTTCTTCCAGATGAATACACGTGTTCCATGGCACTGAAAATTCTATGTGGTATCTAGAATAAATACAGAATATATCCATCTCATTGTATCTATTCCCTCTATATATATATTTATATACATACATTTCATAGTATATATTAAAAATTTTAATAAATTGTAATTATATTACAATAGAAGTTAAAATCTGTTTTTAGCATTCAAGGTAACAATCATCAGACTTAGGAACACAAAAAAAAATTATTTAAAAATTTAACAAATAACCTGTGATACAGTTGTAAGAAGCCTAAATGAGCATCTATATGACCATGTCGCTGTGGCTGTATCATAATGTTGTTATCTTTTCCAAGTCCGCTTCCACCGCTAAAGTGAACATGATGCTCTAAAAACACAAGATTGAATTAAACCGCACATACATCACATATTTAAGAATATACCCAAGTTAAAATAATCGCGTCTCTTATTGACATGCAATTAATTCTTATACGTCGTATACGCAAAGCATCTTTCGTTTTAAAGTAAAAAATTTTACCAAACACTTATTGTTTCATATATCTGTGTCATCTGATGTGTGTCACTGATTTTATAAATGGAAATACGCGCAAGATAATACGTAAGACAATATTTTGTATAATCGTCAAACGTTAAGGAAAGATGATAAAGTACCTTTATCTCCCATGTTCCATAAAATAATCTGGCAGATTTGTCGATTCTGCTTTCATACTGTTCGCGAACCAAATTGATAAAATCAACCGCCCTAATGACACTAATGACTATATAAATGACTGGCGATATAAATAGGTTTTGAGTCTAAAATATAGGTTAAGGTTTTAGGGATTTTATTTAGGGTTTAGAACTTTAATTAGTTTCGTTTAGAGTTTTAGGGATATCAAAAGTGGACACTTTGTATCTTCTCTCTGTTTGTACTATATCAGAGAGAAGCCTGAGAAAGGCCCGGTGATCCCGATAATCCCGGTCTTTTTCGTGGGACTGGACAGTGGACTGGGACGCGTGGGACGTGGGACGTGGGACACGCATCGAAAGTCGAAACTCGAAACTCTCGCAACCCCCTGCACACTAGCGCCAATACATCCATTTTCGAACGTGGTACTACGTAGCCACGTAAATTTTCCGACATTGCCGATAAAAAATTTATTTTAGTGCGCGTCCGTGCTACATCTGCAAATGTATATTAATTTTGTTTACACGCTGAAGATAAGGTATAAGGTCAAATTTGTATTATGATAAGATAAAATATATTAATCAATACACATTCGGATGTGTATATATTGATTAATATATATTTCATCTTATCATAATATAAATTTTATATATCTTATATCTTGACGAGAACATATTTATTCAAATAATAAACTAAGAATAAGTATATTAGGCTCTCCTGAATAAATCAAATAGGGAATAGTGAGAAAGGCAATCGGAGCCACGCGCGGTAATTATTGCGCAATCAATATATAGTCTTTCTATATATTGATTACGCAATAATTACCGCGCGTGGCTCCAATTGCCTCTCTTACTATTCCTAATTTGACTTATTCAGGAGAGCCTATACTTATTCTTAGTTTATTATTGGAATAAATAATATGTTCTTGTCAAGATATAATAGATATAATATTTGTTCACTGTCGTCAAAATTGCCAATGTACATACCATATAGTATATATATAGTGTCGATCGTGAAACTATATGCTTTTTATCGTTATTATACGGTTAATTTAACGGCAGTCGTCAAAGTATATATACGATTTTGGCGGGTACGTACATAACTTTTCGGGACATTGTCTCATTTCTGAGATTTCGGGATTATGACATTTCGGCACATTGTCACGTTTCTAAGATTTCGAGATTATGCCCTTTCAGCACACAATTGTCGTTATAGTTTTCAATATTTGTGATTTTCATTTTTCGGGACACTGATGCATATGTCCACCGGTATATATATATATATATATATATATATATATAATAATATTCTTGATTGTAATTTTGGTTGAGGATCAGTTAATATTTATATCTTACATGTTATGAACGATAAATATTAACTTATTTTATATATTTATATTTATATGTTAATATAATCTCTCCCTCTCTCTCCTTCTCTCACTTTTTCTCTTTCCGATCGACACGCATGATTTTTCCCACATAAACAAATTATTTCTTAACTATTTTGTCCACTGAAAATTCTCATTGTTCCTTTATATTGATAATCGCATTGATCCAAAAGTGATATTTTTGCTGGCCTAACCTCAGCTAGTTGACTTTTAAGGGTTGAAACGCCGAAACTGTCCATTTTTTTACTGAGGAAATATTTTGCTGAGGAAATATTTTTGTTCAGTGACCCAAAAAGTACAACTTATTAAAAATTCAGCCATTTTTTCCGGGGCCTAAAATCACGTGGTTTAGTGCGGGGTCCTTTCGTGGTTACAAATACACAGAATTTAGTATCAGCAGTATCAAAGTTCATGATAATCCAATCTTAAAGACCGCAAGACCGTCCTTGCGTCTACGCAATAGGTACCTTCGAATCGTTTCAATCGTCATTATTATAGGATTATTCAAACGAAATGTATGTATATGTACGAGTAAACTAAAATATATAGTAAAGAAACGTCAGAATAATTATCGCGCTGAATAATCTTTTTATGACGGAAAGGACATCTATCTATATCTTTTATTATCGTGACAATATTGTAATAAAAGGAAATTATATAAAATCGGCTATATAATGATGACATGTGTACATACAATATGTGTGTGTATGCGCGCATATGCGTGTAGTGCGCCATGAGATATAATTGACGCGCAGAATAATAAAATTTTAATCGGCGTGACCACAATACAATTCCAAGAAAATTGTATCCGGTAGACAATACTTATCTTTAGGTGAAGCATTTATTTCAAGAAAAACAGCAAATTTATATTTATTATAAAGTTTAATTCGTTCGTTACGATAGGAAGTAGTTATATTTAATGATCTCTGAAAAATCGCGTTCTATATATTTAAAAAGAACATGTCTAGAAACATGAAACAGAAGGTTTCAACGACAATACGTTGAGGTAATAAGATAGAATTAATAATGCGCACAAGCACTATAGTAATCTAATTTGGTATTTTCTCATTAAATAATGTAAATGTAAGATTGTGTGTTTTATTAAAACTCTCTAGACTAAATCAAAGGAAATAAATGAGGCAATCGGAGCCAAGCGCGGCGCGATAATCAATGCGCAGACAAATTATAATAAAGTGTCGAAACGTTCGTTTTTAATATATTTATTTATTATTATAATTTGTCTGCGCATTGATTACCGCGCTTGGCTCCGATTGCCTCATTTATTTCCTTTGATTGTGTGTTTTATTTTTCATTATCACGATGTCACTATCTCGTCGTTGCGCATATTAATTGTAAACAATATTATTGGCTATATCGTTACATTATTCTTTCACTTTATTGTTAACAATTTGTTCTCTAGCTTATATATATTATATATTTGTCGCAAATAAAATTTGCATAATCTTTTCTTCTTATCGCGTCTTTTTACGTCAAATAATTTACCAAAAATTCAGTATCCATATCATAATCTATAGATTTTTTTATCTTGCAACATGTAGAAGTTTACCAGTCGTTACAGCTATATAATTGAAATAAAAATTCGGGTCTCTTGATTAATATGTTATTATTTTTGTTTTTTTTTATTTGGTACACTACTTGGAAGTGTAGATGGTTAGGCTGTGCATTTGTGCAACGCGTTTATTACGTGTGAATGATAAAATTTAGTACTGTATACTGTATAATGGATGGTATGAGTGGAATTTTAGGATTTTTTGTAAACCAAGTCCACTTCCTGGCTATCCACTACCTGAAGTTAATAAATATTTATTATTTGGTACACTCTTCAAACATATCTAGCAAAAATACGTGTTTAGTAAAAATAAATAAACTCTGTGATTATAAATAGCAAAAGACAAAAGAATTAAAAGACTCGAAACATGAATACATGTTATTTTTTACCATTATAGCTATGATTTATTGCTTCCGCATAATTCGAGTATTGCGTCCGAGGAATAACGCCGCGGACTAACATAATTCGAGTATTCCCCCACGCAATGGTGCCACAGAATGTCAAGGAGAACATGTCGTCATTACGTCGCAAACTATAAAAGCTTAGAACTCTATCTTGTGATTAGCCAGTAACTTGGATCACGTTGAACTGTACATCGTGTCAAAAAGAAAAATCAAACATGAAAGCAATCGTTATCGTGCTCGCTATTTCTTTCGTCGCCGTCTTGGTAAGATTATCTTCGTTAATAATGTATTTAATTTATATTTTTTAGAAAACATCTAGTTGTTTTTAACTTGTTTTTTTTATCTGATCAATTTTTATTATTTACAATCTTATCAGACTCATTCTATTCACATACACTCTTAATACTCGATCTATTTGCTTAAGCTCTCTACTTTCTTTTATAATTTTTCTAATCTTAGACTATGTGTATTATACTGTTTCTTTCTCAATATATTTAATTTCCACAGAATGTATCATAAAAATATTCCTTAATCGTCTGACACATTCCAAATAGGCACATTTTTAAATACATCAATTATTAAGCATTACCATGATATTACCATGTGAATAATGATATCCAAATATCTATTTGATTGTATTAGGGTGAGCTCACAAATGAACAAAAGGCCAAATTGAGAGAGTACAAAGAATCCTGTATCAATGAATCTGGCGTTGATCCAAGTAAGTGAAGAATAAACTACGTGCATAACATAATATAATATTAAAAAAAAAACTAAAATAAATAACTGCATTAATTATAATAATTCGAATTTCAGCCGTAGTTGAAAATGCGAAAGGATCAAGGGCAACATCGGAAAATGACGAAAAGCTTGCCTGTTTCTCTACCTGTTTCTTGAAGAAAATTGGAATTGTAAGCAAAACTCGTATCTCATTTTAATGTGTGTGTGTATTAAAAATGTGTGTATTAAAAAAATAAAAATAAATTAAGAATAAAATAATTTCTACGCATATTCTAGATGAAAGCGGATGGAGATATTGACTGGGAGGCAGCTCGTGCTAAACTACCATCAGACGTACCACAAGAACAGGCTGATCAATTATATAATGCGTGCAAAGACATTAGTAAGTAGATATAATATGAATTTGACAAGGGCTAAGATCGATTTTTATCCGTTTAGAGAACTGATATTGTAATCTTATGTAGTCGAATACTTTGAACTCTCGGTCCTTTCAAACATTGCTCTCAAATGAAAATAGAGTGAAATATAATTGAAATATTGTTTCAGCTGGAACTGGTTGCGAAAAGGGACACAATCTGCTTAAATGTTTTGTGGAAAACAAGCAATTTAATCTTCTGCATTAAGCAAATGAGACCAAACTCAATATGAAAACCTAATTAGATCTATTAGTTAGATACCATGTATCGTCTACTTATTTAGATAACATTAAAATATTACCTTGCACGTTCATGCAACAGTGTAGAGCTGTGTTAATGAAAAAATAAATATACATGTCGCTTCAGCATAAAACAATTAAGTCTCTCTCTTTAACTTTCCTCTCTCTCTCTCTCTCTCTCTCTCTCTCTACAAATATGAGTTTCTACATAGGACTGCACAGTGATCTAAAGTTATTCAACGATCGATATAAAATCTCAATTTTATATTTAAAAAATAAGAAACTTATTAAATTGAATAATTATAAATTGATTTGCAATAAGGTACGTCAAAAAACACATTTTGTAATAGCAAAATACAACAAATAACGTATTATTTGTACATATAAATTTATTTTTTCCATGTTTTCTTCTATATTTTTGCGGTTTCTAACGTCTTGAGATTTTCATTAGCCATGTTATCGGTCAAGATATTACACAATGTAAGTTCTTTACGACAACGTGCTTCGTTTACTAAAAAATCTCGTATAACAGTCAGTCAAACCACGTCCTTTTATATATTAATCTGTGTACTGAGATTATGTATCGTTGTTGCTGTATGTGGGTATCAAGAGACACGGCATGCAACAGTGTCTCATCACGCCAAGTGTAAGCGCTCGTGAAAGTGTCTCTATAGTCTATACCTCGCAATCAAGCACCGAGTTGAACGGTGACACGATCACGAAGGTACGTTCTAAAAAAACCGGCTAAGGGCCAACGTCGGCACTCTTTGTCTTTTTCTAAGGGGGCAGATAAAAAGAGATGAAGATGAGTGAGCTGTTATATTGGTCCTAAGCGGATGAAATTTTTCAATAGACTCAATCGATTGTTTGGAGTCATATTATATAATAAAGAGTCCTAATTCTTTTTCTACATTACATCTACAAAAATTGTTTATCAAACATTCGTCGTTCATCAGAAATATCAGACATTTATATTTGCACAATTTTATTTCCAGTTACTAATTATATAATTTAGTTTGAGCACAATTTTTAGCATGCCACGAAAAATTAACAAATCAGCGGGATATAAATAATAATATATGTATTGTATATTTCTATATACGCAGTGCCATATATGTGCACTTATTAATATTACTGTACAGTTAATTAATAAATAAATTATAACTGAAATATATCTATAATTCAACCCCTTATCCTTATAGTCTAAAACAATTTTTTTTATTCTTTTAGACCTGTTTGTAAAAGTATAGTTCAAAAAATCAAATAATTAATCACTGCAGTTAATTTATAGTAATTTACATTGCTTATAGGTATATTATCTACATGAAAAAAGTTCATGTAAATAAATGTAAAAACATAATGTAAAAAATACGTAAACGACCCATGTATGTAGACGATATAGACATATAATCTTTGAAATTTATTGAACACAACCCTGATAAGTAGGTTTGAATCTCAGCTAAATAGGTGCGAGTCTTTGCTAAATGGGTTCGAGTCTCGTCTCGTCTCACGATTCCCCACATTTCCCGTATTCCACCAGATCACACCAGATTCCACCTTCCCATGTACATACCGTCCTGTCCAGCCGTCCATATTGTCAGTTGTCACCACGGTGGCAAAAACCGACCGCAAAAATATGAAGATGCGTGCAATGACTTCCGCAAATTTGAAGATATCGATCTATTTCTAATTTTATTATATTTCTCAGTCTTTTCTACCCCTATTTCATATATAATTTTTTAAGATTTGGTTGATTAGACCCAGCTTTATACGCGATCAAAGATCCATAACTTTGATCGCATATAAAACTAAGTCTAATCAACCGAATTTAAAAGAATTTTATATGAAATAGGGGTAAAAAAGACTGAAAAATATAATAAAATTAGAAATAAATAGATATCTCCAAATTTGCGGAAGTTAATATGTTCAGAGTGTTCTAAAATGTCGAAGTGTTGCATTAAATCGCATGTCCGTACGTATATATGTGTATGTGCAGATTTGATGTCCGTGTTTACTCT